CAGAGCCTGGAGCCGTGCGGGGCGGGGCTGCGGGTTCCGAGGGGCCCCCCGGGCTCCAAGGAGCCCCCCGTGTTCTGCAGCCGTGAGGTGGTGGAGAGTCTGAGCGTGGAGCCCGCCGCGGCCACCAGCAGCGTCCACGCGGTGAAGATCAGCATCACGGAGCCAGGCTGCGCGGGGGCGCTGGGTGAGCAACCGCTGCCGCGACGGGGTCCGGCCCTTTCTTTTATCTGACTTTTTTTTTGGTATGGGCGAGGTCTTCTATGTTGCCCGGGCCGGTCTGGAACTCCTGGGCTCCAGTGATCCTCCGCCTTAGCCTCCCAGGGGCCTGGGATCTCTGGCGTGGGTCACCGTACTGTCCCGGCAACATTCTTTCTTCCCTTGGGATGCCAGGGTCCAGCCCCAGCCCCAGCCTCCCGCCAGACAGGCCACTCCGCGCTGGGACTGTCTGCGCCTTCATCCAGGAAGGAGTGGAACTGTACCCCCCACCTTGGGGCCACACAGAGAAGTCATGTGCCTGGCATGTTGCCAGCATCTGGAAAGCAGGAGGAGGACTTTGGGGGGAAGTTCCCCAAGGCTGTTGGTTTACTGGGCACAAATTCTCTGGATTTGTTCAGAAAGTGGTAGGAATCGACCTCAGACCAGCTGCAGCAATAGAAAGGGAACATGGCTGGTTAGGTAACCTAGGGACAGCTTCAGGCATAGCTGGATTCAGGTGCTCAAATAGCACCAGGTGTCTAACCCACTGTTTTACTCTTCTGTTTCCCCCGGGGGCCTTTTTCATTTCAGGCTAGCAAACGAAGGTGGTCCTGTTGCTCTTGGCATCAGTGGAAAGGGAACCATAGTGCCACATAGCGCCAGTAATCCCAGCGCTTTGGGAGGCTGTGGTGGGAGGATCACTTGAGCTCAGGAGTTTGAGACCAGCCTGGGTGACGTAGTGAGACCTTGTCTTGACAAAAAAATCAAAATATTAGCCAGGTGTGGTGGTACACCCTGTAGTCCCAGATACTTGGGAGGCTAAGGTGGAAGGATCGCCTGAGCCCAGGAGGTCAAGGCTGCAGTCAGTAGTGATTGTGCCACTGCACTCCAGCCTGGGCCACAGAATGAGATGCTGATTCAAAGAAAAAAAAAAGCACCAGTGAAAATCCCGGGGGTGGTCCTCATTGGCTGGCCTGGGTCACATGCTCAATGCTGAGCCAATCACTGTGTCCCTCTGCCCGGCTTGGCTCCTGGGGGCAGGGGAGCCCCACCCAAGCTCGGTGGCCTTTGAGGGAGGAAAGGGGTGCTTCCCGGCAGAAGTGCTGAGTCCTCATGCCAGGGAAGGGGATGCCGGGTGAGCAGAATGCCAGCTGCTCAGCTACCCTGAGGTCCCTGGCGGAAGCTGCTCAAATGACTCACAGTGACAGCTGTGCTTTATCAAATGTGGGGGAACTGGGAGCCAGACCAGGGGCATTCCACACTACTGTGTGATTCTGGGTGGGTGCCATCACCTCTCTGGGCCTCAGCTTCCCTATCTGGAAAGTGGCGTGAGCGTGGTCTCCACCACTGGAACCCTGAGGAATTGATGCTCGCAACACATGTTGCTGCTTCTGCTGGTGTCAGGTCAACCCTGTACATAGCAGAGAAAAATAAGGCCCAGGGAGAGAATTCACTTGCCCTGTGTCATACAGCCAGGAAACCCAGGATAGGCTGGCACAGTGGCTCACACCTCTCATCCCAGCACTTTGGGAGGCTGACGGGGACAGATTCTTTTGAGGCCAGGATTTTAGAACGGCCTGGGCAACATGGCGAGACCTCCATTTCTAACAAAAAAATCAAAAAATTATCCGGGTGTGGTGTCACAGGCCTGTAGTCCCAGCTACTCAGGAGGCTGAGGTGGGAAGATTTTTGAGCAGCCCAGGAGTTTGAGATTACAGTGAACTGTGATAGTGCCCTCCAGCCTGGGCAACACAGCAAGACCCTATCTCTTTAAAAAAAAAAAAAAAAAAAAGCAGCTTGAATCTGCAGCAGGGCTCCAGGGTGGGTCCCAAGTTCTCAGTCCTGTCTTGAATGTCATGTGACTGGAGCCCTAGTGACAGACTGGGGGCATGGGGTGGAGGCAGGGACCCTGCTGGGTTTTCCTGCAGCCCTGTGTTGTTGCTGGCCAGCTGCGAACACCACCCGTCTGTTCTGTGTCCATCCCAAACACCCGACCCTGTGGTTCTGGCCTCCTGCCAGAGGCCTCGCCTGGCCCAGCCTCAGAATCTCTGAGAGGTGACCTCCATTTCAGACTTGCCTCCCAGAGCAGTCACGAGGCCTGCCTGTCTGCAGGATGGACAAGCGTAGTGATGTCCACCCCACCTGTGCAAGCTGCTGCCCCTGAAAGTCCTTCCTAGAATCTCATTTCACTCCCTCTTGCTGTAGCCAGCCCCAATCTCTGCATTGTTTGGGCAGAACTGGAACGTGTTTATTCATTTCCATATCTTCCCATTCAATACAGGTTTACCGAGCGCCTGTGTACCAGAACCCTCTGTGCACTCAGGGAAATCGTGAGCAGGACGGGCATGAGAGCCCCTGCAGTCAATAAGTAAAACATCCTGGGAGGCTGGGCATGGTGGCTCACACCTGTCATCCCAGCACATTGAGAGGCCAAGGCGGGAGGATTGCCTGAGTCTGGGGGTTTGAGACCTGCCTGGGCAACTTGGTGAGACCTCGTCTCTATAATAAACCAGAAAATTAGCTGGCAGTGCGTGCCTGTACTTCCAGCTACTTGGAAGGCTGAGCGGAAGGATCGCCGGAGCCCAGCAGGTTGAGGCTGTGGTGGCCATGAACGTGCCATTGCACCCCCGCCTGGGTGACAGTGAGACTCCAACTCTAAATAAATAAATCATTAAAAAAGTGGCCAGGAGTGGTGGTACCTGTAATCCCAGCTACTTGGGAGGCTGAGGCAGGTGGATCACTTGAGTCAAGGCTGGAGCCACAGTCATGCCATTGCATTTCAGCCTGGACGACAGAGCCTGGGACTTCGACTCAAAAAAAAAAAAAAAAAAACGTCACGGGGAGACACCTCTTATCAACAAGAGTGCCTGAACGGAGCATATTTGTATACCTAACCCTTAACTATACCCCACAATATCATTTTTAAAAAAGTTGATTAAAATAAAATTAAAAAAAAAAAGTCAGGTGGGCAAAGAGATGGAAAAGGGAATGTTCCAAATGGGGGCACAGGAGGGACAAGGTCCCTGAGGTGAGGGAGGACATAAACATGCCAAGGTACTGAACAAATTGCAATGCATTGAGGCCAGAAAAATGAGGTGTGGGAAATTCCGAGCATGGAGGGGATGGGTCCTTCAGGGCTTCTGCTGTGGGAGCAGTCTTACGGGAAATAAAATGAACACTTGGCCAGTGCTCAGATGATGCTGTGGTGCTGTGCTCACTCAGGTCAGTTGCTGGATGGTTAAATCAGGGAGCGCTCCCTGCAGGGGGAGGCAGAGGGGCCCAACCTCTTCACCATCTAGCTAGGCCACTGTTTTTTGTTTTGGGGTTTTTTGTGGGTTTTTTTTTTAAGTTGGAGTCTCACTCTATCACCCAGGCTGGAGGACAATGGCATGCCAGAGGGCAATGGCACGCTCATGACCACTGCTGTTGCGCAGGCTGGAGAGCAATGGCACGCTCACAGCCACCGCAGCCGCCATGGGCTGGGCTCAGGTGATCTTTTCACTCCAGCCTTCCAGGTAGCTGGAACCACAGGCGTGCACCACCATGCCCAGCTAAATTTTATATTTATTGTAGAGATGAGGTCTCACCGTGTTGCTCAGGCTGGTCTCGAATCCTTGGGCTCAGGCAATCCTCTTGTCTCTGCTTCCCAAAATGCTGGGATTACAGGCGTGAACCACTGTGCCCGGGTGGACCTCAATGTCTTTAACCAATTTGCTTAATATCCCAAGAGCTGACTGATTTCTTTGTTACTATTTTGATTTTATTATTATTAGAGTAGGGGTCTCACTCTGTTTCACAATCATGACCACTGCAGCCTCGACCTCCTGGACTCAGGCAATCCTTCCACCTCAGCTTTCTGAATAGCTGGGACTACGAGTAAGTGCCACCATGCCTGACTAATTTTTTTTTTTTTTTTTTGTTGGGGTCTCATTCTGTTGCCCAGGCTGGAGTGCAGTGACATATTCACTGCCACCGCATCCTCGGCCTGCTGGGCTTAGTTGATCTTGCGTCTCAGCCTTCCAAGTAGCTGGAACTATAGATGCACACTACCACGCCCAACTAGCTGGTTTTTGTGTGTGTATGTGATTTATTGTAGAGACAAGGTCTTACCAAGTTGCCCAGGCTGGTCTCAAACCAGTGGGCTCAGGCACTCCTTTCACCTCGGCCTCCCAAAATGCTGGAATTTTAGGCATGAGCCACTACGCCTGGCCTTTTTTTAAAATAGAGATGGGGGTCTTGCTGTGTTGCCCAGGTAGGTCTTACTTTTGGCCTTAAGCGATCCTCCAGCCTTGGCCTCCCCAAGTGCTGGGATTATAGCTATGAACCACCATACCTGGTCCTACTTCTGCTACTTTGTACGGAAAGCAGCCAGAGACAACAGGTAAACGAACGAGCGTGGCTGTGTTCCCATAAACCTTCATTTACAGACACTGAGATTTCAGTTTCATGTACTTTTCATGCATCCCAAATAGCATTCTTTTGTTTTTATTGATTATATATATGTTTTTGTACTTATAGAGACAGAGTCTTACTGTGTTGCCCAGTCTGGTCTCAAACTCCTGGCCTCACGTGATCCTCCTGCCTCAGCCTCCCAGATGCGGGGACTGCAAGCATGAGCCACCCACCCAGCTGGTGGTCTTCTTTTCCATCCAGCCCTTTGCCACGTGGAGCCTGTGCCGCAGGCTGTAGCTTGCCAACCCCCGCTCTCCACCAGCAAAGTCACCCCACCCCGCAGTCTCATTCCTGGCAATCCACCTGACAAGCTTATTTAGATATTTGAGTGTCCTTGAAGAATACGCCCTCTGCATGTTTAAATTCCTTAAATGGTACTGTGTTTCAGAAAAACAAAAATCTCTTTCTGTTTCTTATTTTTTCCACTCATACATCATTGTTTACCCCTCCACGCTGCTATTTGTAAATATGGCTTACCTCTTTTTTTTTTTTAGTTGAAGTCTCACTCTGTTGCCCAGGCTGAAGTGCAGTGGCACA